GAAAATAAATACGCATTTCTTTTAATCCAAAACAACAATTTGCATTTATTATGTGATTTCCCTTGACATCAGTTGTTCTGTCAGTCGTCTAGTATTCATTCTGTTTTAATATCGGAAACCAGTTTATGTGTATAAAGTAATATATTAAAATAAATCTGAATATGTTGTAGATAACATTTGCTAGAGTAATCACGTGTGGTTGCACGTGCCATGCTTTACTGCACCTGTTACGAACGTTGATTGTTTAGTATTTTTTTAAGTTATTAAAGCAATCGGTTGCAGCTTGCTTGGGAAGTACCTATGTCTGAGACTTCCAAACCATCTGCGAAGTGTGTGGATTATATAGCAACTCTTTCCCTCGCGGTATTTAACTGAGCACTGGCCTTTTTGCACCGTAATGGTGACTGTCATTTGTTTTTTTTTATTTTGTTACTTAGGTATTTGTGATTTGCTTGTATTACGGTGCAAATAAACAGTGTTTATTTCTTTCTTCTTTGTTTCTTTCTTTTCATAATAGGAGACACGTCACCTTCATCTTTAAAATAATGTGGTATCATTATCACGGGTACGTACTTTTTTAACTGGACCCATACACGGAAAGCGAATAGTATATAAAACAACAAACTAAACTAATTTTAGAACTGGACTCTTGTTTCAAATTCCTCCCCTCTGTCTGTGCAATAAAATATTCAACAAGGTAGATAGACACCATCAGGTCAAAATACCCCATACTGTCGATTTTTTCCGTTGGATTTTCGACTTTATATATCAACAGTGTAAAGTTGAAAGTCGAATAAAGCAAAACAGAAGGTGTTGACCTGCAGTCACTTATTTCACAATAGCTCTTAATGACATAGAAATAGAGTTCCTAATTACCTTTTCGTTTATGGGGTAGTTTGCAAAAAAGGAATCGATACCCTGTGCAATCAATGTTCGGTCGTTGACATTTGATACTAAGACAAGAATATGGGATTAGAGGTGTCCCGTTTCAGGAAATTGTCTTTTAAAAAGAAAGATTTGAATCTTCGTTTGTTTCCCTATAGTGGGTACTTGGGTAGGCTCCGAAACAACTGGACCGATTTGGAAAAATCCTTCACCATCGGGAGCTTACGTTTTTTTGGGAGCAATAATGTCTTGTCTTTTTTAATTACTATGATTTTCGGCTTACTCACGTAATTATTTGACAAGGAACTCGACTAGGTTCAAGCCATGCTAGTATAGTATATAGTTCTGTCACTACAAATTCTTTGTTAAATGACAGAGCACGATATTTAAGTGCAACTTAAAAGTGCCTTTGATAGTCATTCAGTATTTGGGCGTTAGTATGGTAATAGGGATGATGACAGGGTATGAAGATCAAAAATCTAATTAGTCCGTCAGTTAGGTAATGGAAAAATATTAGACACGTATTTTTTATTTTTTCGTATAAGAAAACAATGCTTAAATAAAACGAATCAAAGTTTAGGAGTGGTAGATAGCTATGTCATTTTAGAGTATAATCGTACTCAAAAGTGACGTCATGCGATATTTCAAATCAATATATCTTCGAAACTATTCGTAGCCGTAAGAAAATAAATAAAGAAAATAAAATAAATACCTATCTTATGTTTTTAAATAATCTAAGTACCAGACGGACATTATTACCTACAATAAAAATTAATCATCTACCCTATGGTAACAAAATCCAAGTAGTTCTTAGAAACGAAAAAGGAAGAAAGCTAAAAACAACAATGAATTTATTAAAACCATAACCGTTCTTGGCAATCGATTAAAAATAAATAATTCGAATTTCAAAACGTGTTATTCACACACGGTTATTGCGTAGACGAAATTTCTTCAACCAATTATCAACTTTAATTGCAAAACAATAAGGATGAAAATTAATTAGAATAGTTTACCACCATGTGCGATCTATGTACCTGCGTAAATATTTATTTCGATTTCTTCCGTTAAAATGGATAACACAATTGTTATTGTAAAAATAACCTTGATCGGTATCATAATAAACATGTTTTTCACTTTCAAAGCAAGCCAAATTCGCCAATTTTGATAAAATTAAACGAATATGTAATATTCTTATCTTCAACTATTATAGGAACTTCGCTTACTTCTGACTTAGAAGATTTTTAGGTAGTATGTCCTGTTCCTGTAGAAATACTGGAATAAAAGATAACATGTTACTTTTTGAAAAGTTTTCAATTGTGAAATAATGTTTCAATTGGATCCCTGTAGTTTCGAAGCTTATTCGATGCAAACAAACAAATCTTTATTTTCTTTATTTTATAACCTATCTTATCTTTTATAAATAATATAATTCATTGCCTAGATTTTGTTTAGGCCGTTGACTTTTAAACCGTAGTAAATATAGAAATAAACAAGGTTTTTTTATTTAGGCTGTGATCGGTCAATATTAATTTTGATTGGATGACAATTCTTGCTAACGGGGATTTGATTGGTTGAATTGTCGTGGTCTTTGAATTTTGTGATGTTCATTTGTTTTTGATGTTACCTTACCTTACGAAATGAAATCATGAAAATCTGAGCAGCCATTCCGTAGCTTGATCTCAGACGACTTTTACACAAAATGTTGCTCCTAGATTCCAAAGGAATTCCAATACTGATGGAGTGCTTACTGTAACAATTTCCACATGTCTCTCATACCTCTACAATTCATACCTACATGATAAACCAATAAGGAAGCATGAATTTCACGCGCATTTCCAGCAAAGAAATCAACCCTGTACGTTGAACTTGATAAAGTAATCATTATCAATAATCAAAAGTACACATGATACGGTTTGTTGACCCCGTTCTGTATCAATATACCTAATATTATAATTTGTTATCAAAATTACTTGATATTGAATTATTCATGGTTTAAGTTTGTAAATAGTTAATCCGGAGCTGCGGAATACTTAACGGGTTACCGAGGCTCCGGCTCGAAGGAGTAAGAACATGGTGCTTTTTAGTCAGTAAGAGTCTGAAACTCTCTCTTGCCTTACCCAAGGCGGGAGGAGTCAATGGATGATATTCCGCCCCTCAAAGAAAAAAATGTAAAATAATGTACGTACGTAGAACATAACATTTATTCACTAAAGGGAAATACCTGTTCTTATTAAGGGATTGCCCCTTTCGACAAGGATATAAAAGTGCTTCGAGTTATTTTGGGGATGGAATAGATTTTTAGGTTGCATAGTCATGTTAGCTTAGCCTTAATTTTAAAGGCCGGCAACGCACCTGTGACTCCTCTGGTATTGCGGGTGTCCACGCTGATCGCTTATCATCAGGTGATCCGTCTGCTCGTTTGCCTCCTATTCCATTTCAAAAAAAAAGCTCAGGTTCTATGACAAATAAGAACACCAGGACGATAATTGACAAAACTTATGTCGTAATTTCCTATCAAATAAAATAAAACCTTAAGGAATTGTACTAGAACTGGCGTACTAAAACTACGAAGACGGAAGAAACTTACATTTAATTTAATATAAAATATTTCTTCTTTTATAAATAAATCGTGTTGTTTTTCAATAGTAAGTACCCATATTATTATCGTGGTACAATTTATCAATACAGGAATACTGTAAACTTTCCACGGCAACTGTCTATCGTTGTGTCCGTAATCGACACACGTGCGAGAAACGTGTTTTATTATCTGTGTGTCTTAACATAAACACGATGTACCGTGTGTATGAATGCTAACGTCTATGTCTTTTTTTTTTTTTAAGGGTTGATCAAAAGTATCCGCGTTTTCGCAGTTCTACACATGAATATATTCTGTGGTTCACAACGCACTACTGATATTTCTGGTGTTGCAGCTGATTTAACTGACGCGTAAACAATACAGCCATATTGCTAAATTGTATATTGTTTAACTTAGATAACTATTGTAAATGTGAGAGCACTGTAACTTACTTAACTTAATATTAAATTAGACTAGTAGAGTGCATTTTTGTCAGTTTGGAGTTGTCATGCTCATTCAAAGGTCTTATTAGCGGTGGCACGTGCAGTGGATCGCTCGATTCCCTACAATATGGTTGAGTTGTGCGGTGCTGGTGTAAGTACGTGCCATGTTCGTGAACATATGCCGTCAACTGGGACTGGTCAGCTCCAGACTGTATTATTTATTGTCCTTGAGGTTATTTTCTTTTTCAATCTCTTTGACTGGATTTTAGTGTTGCATTATTATCGCACAATCCAAACAACATAACTGTGTAACTAGTAAATTGTATTGTGAACCTGACTGAAAAAAGAGTAACCTACGGAGTTTCTTGCTCGTTCTTCTCCGTAGGAATCTACACCTTGGAATGAGCAAATAATTTAACTTTTAATTTTTTGTTGATATTCAGAAGTGCCTTACTGGTCTAATTGAAATAAATGATTTTGACTTTGACTTTGATTTTAACTTGACTTTGTTGCTACCATCAGTAGCACAAAGAAAATGTTCCTGAAAAAAATTCCTATACGTCATATATCTACGTTTTAAAATTAGCAAGCAAAAGTTAGCAAGCGAAATCAGGAAAATTACTACCAAGGACGACTTTCAACAATATTGCACTTATTTGACGTATGCACTTGAATATGTTAGGTCTAGTTGAAGGACCTAATGCAAGTGGCATGCTTCCTCAATCTAGTCATTACAAGTACCACTTCATTCCTATAATCTACTACAAGGTCTCCCAAGTTTTACTGATTGTAGGATTTAGAAATTGACAATCTCAATGAAACATGTATAGGTAATAATGAAATATGTATATCCACACACACATACACACACATTTCTTTTGTTATGCCTCCTACCTAATGAATTTGCCAATGTTTTCCTTCATTATAAAAGAAAGAATAAAAAGAAAACGTCTTTGGTACACTCGAAAAACTGCATCAAACTGGGTTCTGCGGTTTTTAAGCTAATCTCATACATAGAATGACGCTGCGTCGTGCGTACTGTATTTTATACAATGTGTATAGTTTATTTATATAGATTATTATGTTTTATGTTACAGGGATGCATTTCTCCCAGTCAGTGGCCATCATTCAAAGTCAAGTGGGCACAATAAGAGGAGTACAAGTACTTTATAGTGATCAGGTAAGTTGATACAAATACTTACTTCTGCTATGGTAGAATGTTAATGTAAGCTTAAAAAAATCTATCTCTAGAAGCTAAATCTACCCACAAATAGGTTATAATAAGATCAGTAGAAAGTATAAAATAAAGTACCTACTTATTTAAAAAAATATTATTTTAATTTTTGTACGAAACCAATGCAAAATATAGAGTGGAAAGTATTAGACCCGTAAACTAATGGAAGTATAAAAATGTGATCCAAGAATATTAATTTGAATTGAAAGTTTTTAAGTAACAAACGTGTTTATTTTCTCTCACGTAAGCATTGTTATTTTATTAAAGACGAAGGAGTATTTGTGTACACAGGACACACACATTTATAAAAATAAAAATATGCTTTCGTCTCGTTCAGAGTACATGTGCCTGATAAGTATCGGGCTTCATTGTTGCCTGGATTATTACAAGAGTTGCAGTGTTAGACCAATGTGGCGGGAAAAAATGTATTTTCAAACATAGAACGCTCAAATGTCAAACTACATCCACAGATTATAATAAAAGACGTGGAGAATTAAAACCTTTTTAAATAGTCTCACCAGCCAGTAACACAGTATTGCTAATTTCCAAAGAGCGTTGTAAAAATTGTTTTAGCCAGCTAATCTATGCTTGCATTTTGATAAAGTTATCTACTAGATAAATGGTTACCTAATAGTTACTAGGCAAATTTTCTGATCGTTGTACAAACTTTTACAATTAAGAATTTCTATGTAGTTTTAATAATATTATCCATTTTTTACCAACCTTACCTTAAAAATAAGTTTTCTAAAGTTGATTTATAAAACCCTTCAGAATATTTCACTTCGTTTCTTGTTGTTTCAGTGTTTAGAATATAATATGGCTACCCAACTAACTAATTACATTTTTCTTCCTGCACTGATTCCAAGTTAACTTGTGTTGTTGCATTGTCTAATTTCATTTCCCTTTATCAGAGGTCTTAGTACGAGTTTTTTTAACGAAACCGCGTTCGGCGCTCTGATTGGTTGGTTCATTGGACCTGGCTAATCATAGCGCAAATCTCACTTGGATTTTGTTAAACATATAACAAACTCATACTAAGCCCTGAGAGGTTATAATATAACGAATTACTTCATTAAAGGCACTTGACAAACAAAATTCAATAATTAATTATAAGTAGGTATTTCCATTTGCTAAAATGTCGAATAATTAAAAAAGGTATTGATAACTTATACATAGTTTTTATTAAAATTTACTAATATTTTTTTTTTCTTTTTTTTCAGAATCCATTGTCAGTAGACCTAGTAATAAATATGCCGCAAGATGGCATCCGGTTAATATTCGATCCGGTTGCCCAGCGACTTAAGGTTATAGAAATCTACAATATGAAATTAGTTAAGCTTAGGTATAGGTAAGTGTCACATTTTTTTTAATAATTAACACATAACATTACATAATATCACGCCG